GCCAAGAGTAAGTACTCCTTTTTTTACTTTTTTTTTCTTCTAGCTGCTTAAGTGTGAAAGTTCAAGTGTTTGTTGTCAGTGCTGTGCTTCGAGACAGCACCAAGCGATGTCATTTACCTAATAGCACATTCCAGCTACAGTATGTTTCTGCCCAACTCTATTGCTACTTACAAAAATTAATAACTGACATGCTCCAAGACTCAGAAAAGTATAAACTAATTTAGCCATTTTTTCCTGGTCCTCTGTGGAAATCCGGAAACATCTTAACAAAGTATTTCAGTTAGCTTGAGCAATCCTGGAGTCAGACCCGAGGTAGCTAAACATTGTTGTCACCAACTCGGGGAGATCATAATCATGTTTCCAACCCCAGTCCCCCTGTCGTCAAAGTTCATTGGCCAGCTGTCAGCTGCAATGAAAAGAGAGACAAAAGAAGGATCGTGAGGTTTAAGAAAAATTTCTTTAAGCTTCAAGATATGTCATCACCGGCCATTTGAACTATTAAAGCTGAATTTCAAACTGAAAGAGTTGAATTGTAACAGGAGCAATCTGCAAGTCCCCTAAAGAAAATAATTTATTTTTTTTTCCTCTCTTTAATACACAGAAATCTGCTGGTTTTTTCTCACCTGCTGCCAGAGAAGCCGATACTAACCTATGGCCTGCCTGACGTCATCCACGTTGTACGTCACTTCGAGCTCAGGGACGTGCTTCTGCACCTCCTGCGCCAGCTCTTCAGGAGTGAAGCTCATGGCGCTGATGTTGTAGGTCCTCATGCTCAGGGCCTCTGCGGGGGCCTCCATCACCTCCAAAGTCGCTTTCAGACAGTCGTCGATGTACATCATAGGGAGACGGGTGTCTGGTTTGAGGTTGCACTGAAATTTGCCGGTCTTTATGGCGTCGTGGAATATCTGGACAGCGTAATCTGTAGAAAAGAACAACGATGCACATAGTCATCAGCCTCAATCTGTTGCTCATTTCACAACAGCCATCCTCAGGCCAGCCCTTAATTCTCCTGCCTAAAACCGAGTGGAACCGTGTATGATTTACGTTTTACAGCAGGAGTGCAAATCGTTTTGAACCACCCCAACGCTATTCTAGCATTTGCATGTTGCAGCAAGTCAGCAGAGTTGAAAATATTTTTAAAAAAGAGGGTCTCAATGAGAGTAATCGATCCCAAAATCTCTTCGCTGTTTAAAGGTAGAGACTACAAAATTATGCCCTAGACTGGAGTGGACAACAAATATTGCCGCAATATGGTTGGAAAAACATCTCTGCACTGATGCTCTACACTACCACAGATTAAATTTCTACACATACATAAAAAATTACTGTGTTGCCTTGTTTCTGCTGCAATACTGGGAAATCCACACAAGTCCCTTACCAGTTGTTCCCCCACCAGGCTGGGAGTCAGCGGATATAATTCCTGGATACCTGAGGCAGCGGAAGTCCAGGCCGTACCGGTAATGGTAGTACTACGGAGGGCAGAGAGAAACACAGCTTTACACATCAAGACTAAGCCTGATATCGCAGGAAAAAATCTGAACAGTCTCCATTTCCTGCCAGGTAGTTGCTGTCCCTGCTTGCCCTTTTCTAGTTGACACCCACATCAGATTCTTTATAGAGATTGGCTTCTAACATAGGGTCTAGATGTGGTGTTTAAAAACCGAAAATTCCTAAGTTTGTAAGACATTTTGGGTTAATGAAGTCTTCAGACCTGCCACCGTCCTTCATAAATGTCAGGAAACTGTACGTAAAAACATCAGCCTTAACAATGTTACATTTCTAAAAACACCTACAAAGGCAAAAGAGAACTCGTGCATGTACAGATTCCCACAGCTTCAATTTTAGAGTCTGTTTAGGGGGCGAGGGGAAGGTCATCAACCGCCTGGCCTGCTTTTGCAAGGCTTTGTACACTCATTTATGCCATTTGTATCGGCAGATGAGGCAGAGAGGCCAAAGTCAAAAGCACCAGGGAAAGAAACAACAGTGAAAGTGAGATGTTTGCCAGCTTCCAACTCTTTGTACTTCTTCCAACAATGTTCAAAAGGTATTTGCCCTTAAGAGCTGCCTCAGAGAACTATTTGAGTACTAAAGTCAGGAGGAAAGAAAGAATGGGGAAAACAGTATCACAGTGGGGAATCTACAAAAACAACAAAGCTTTCATAAAATACAGAAAATTAAAAAACCCTCACTTCTCCCATGAGCTCAGCGTGAACCTTGGACACTCCATAGATCGTCCTCGGTCTCTGAATGCAGAGATCGGGAGTTGGATCTCGAGGAGAGGTGGGCCCAAAAGCTCCAATAGTGCTCGGAACGAAGAGTCTCAAATTATGCTCAGCCGCAATATCCAGAACATTGTGTAAACCTGCAACAAATCAACAGGATTTATCAGAACCTACACTGCACCTTCACAAGCCTCTGCAGAGTCATTGAAACCCTGGGCACGTACCGGTAATATTTACAGCTCTGGCCAAAGGGACGTTGGCTTCGCCAACAGCACTGAGCAAAGCGCTGTAGTGGAACAGCCAAGTTATCCGATTGTTCACCACTATCTCGCGTAAATTCTTGTAGTCCAAGATATCCGCGTAGATAAAAGGACCTGGAAGAAATGGAATGGGCAGGAAATTGAAACCCAAGAATGACCGTAAAGAAAAGTTCCACCTGAACCTCAAATTGCTGCTTCTTGACCGTACCTTGACTGAGGATTTGACTGCACAGCAGAATGCACACCTACCGGCAGTAGCCAATAAGTTAGGAAATAAACAGCAGAAACAAAGGGAAACTGCTACCTTTGACTCAAACTCATGCAAGAACTTGTTTTATCCAGCATAAAAACATCTCATGCACACTATCCAAATACCTAAACATGTCATTGAGCAGTAATGATGAAGTAAAACTTACACAAGTTTCTAATGAAAATAAAGGAATGCAAAAATCCTACCCTACATCTATCTTATCAGAAAAACTGCCTGTGCATGGAAAAGCAAAGCAAGACTTTTAATTTCCAACTTGTTCCCTCCAAGAGAATAAAAGTCACATCTTTTTACAACAGGAGCACAACAGCCAAGCTCAGCTCAACTCGAGTAGTTATCCTGGTCAACAATGTAGCAAAGCAACAGTGAGAAAATGCAAAGAAAAGTAGTTAGAAAGAGGGACAAGAAAGAAGAAGTTAATGTCTTGGCAAGAATTCAAAGCGGGAAGGCAATATCTCGAAGTTTCAAACAGCAACATGTTCAGTTTAATCCACGTATCTAGACTTTGGTAACATCAGAGGTGAAGTCGAGACTTTTTTTCCGTATGCTTCCCCAGTCACTTACCACTATAAAAAACATTATCTGCAGGCTTTCTAATGTCAGACAAGATCACATTGTTCTTTCCAAAGCGTTTCCTGTGTAAAAATAACCACGTGGTGCAGTGAGTGCACAGCCTTTGAGAAAACGCATAAGTTGCTATGCTGCTATTTTGTCTTGCAGGAGCCAAATCAGAAGAACAATAATTACCACAACAAAACCAGTTATTACGCTAAAAACAAAAAACCCCGAGATGCTTTAAATGTCAATATACCATCTTAGAAAATCAGTAAACTACTTCAAGCAGCAGCAAAAGACTGCCTAAGGATAGAGAAATCTTTTGAAAAGTGAAAATACATCAAGAGAAAAGACATTCCTACCCTCTCCTTTCTGAAAATTTCACCTGGGGTTAAATTGCTCCCCTGCAGACACTAAAAAGCCACTGGGCTTTGCTGGAACCGCAGCTACTTTTGTATCAGCAACGTAAATACAACTGAGCCTTGTGCTTTTCTAATGAGCACAAGCTTGTTGCAGAGAGCGAGTCTGACGGCATTGGAGTGCACTCCAGCCTTCCATTGTGTGGATGTTTTTTTAAATATCTCCTAGAAAGGGTAGAAAACATTCAAACAGCCAGCGGGGGTTGAACGCAGTGAGTTTGCTCGTGTTTGGTCACAGTTCAAATGCCCTGCCACAACCACTGCCTGTGCGCACATGATATTCTAGAGCTGAGCAGGTGTGGACACGGACAACGATACGGACCAGGGAGAGCTCTCAGAGCATTTTACGTTTCTTGAAAGGATGCCAGAGAGAAAATAACGTAACTGTGCATGTGAGGCAGGGGAAAAGAAAGAGTCAGAAGAAATATATATTCAATTTATACCTTACGCTGCGTCAGGTCATTTTTCACCAAATCATAAAAGCTTCCAAGATTTTGTATCCTAATTTTTATTTTTGTTTGTACTTTACTGAATAGGACAACTTATCCCTGAAGTTACTGACTGAAATTCTCAGAGACGTAGCAGTCAGCTGCTGCAAAGGTAGGTAGCAACGGACTAGGTATTTTGCACTCAAATCCAGACTTATTTGGCTAGATCAGAAAAGAGAAGAGGAAAACTGACCACCCTCTGAGGATTCCGATTCGGAATACTTCCACTTAACGGGAAGCAAACTGAACTCAGTGACTAGTCTCTTAGGCAAAATCAAGTTGTTTTGGGAATCGTGACCAATGTACACACAGAAAGGTCATCAGTGAACCCAAACAAAGCACAGGAGTAAAAAAAGAAGATGATGGTAAAAATTTGAAGTTATTTACAAAACCAAGAGGCAAAAAATGCATTTTCCAGTCACCACCAGGATTCTTTATTAAACAACTTTCTGAAAAGTTATTGCTTCTAAAAGTGATGGCTAAGCCTTGAATTCCTCACTAATAACAAGTCAGAGAATGATGAAGTACCTTAGGAGCTTAGCAAGTCCCACTCCAAGCTGGCCAAGGCCACCTAAAAGTCAAAGTACAAGAGAAAAAAAAAATCAGAGAACAAGGGAAACTAAAATACAGAGCTCCATTTTCACACATATCACACCAGAAATGAGCGCTCACTTTCTCAGTGAGTCAGGAAGCTTTTCTATTTTTCTGAAGGGAAACCCAAGGAAATGGTTTCAGTAGATTTCTGGAATAAAACAGTAGAAAAGTTCACATGGGACTCCGATCTTATTACCACACAGGAAAGATCATGACAATTCCAGAATATTTGGGCTGGTTTTGCTTCCAGTTGTCCTGCTCAGCAGGGAGGGAGGAGGGGAGGGACTCAGCTGAGAAGCTGGAGCAAGAATATATATGACAGGAATGCTGACCTGTAATTAGCACCCGAGGGTGATCAGATTCAGCAAAAGAAACCGAATGAAAGCTCGCATCGGAGGCGACCTGGCGGGGGGAGACTCCAATGCATCGAACAGGCACGATGGAAATCCTGCATCCGCAGCCAGAGCTCTGTAGCAGCTGGCCGACAGCTCTGCTCACGTTTCTGACAACTGGCATCTTCTTTCTTCAGCTACGCTGTGAGAACAAGAGAAAAAGATTAGTCCCAAGTGACTCAACCGTATTAAACATTTCAAACACCTCCTTGGAAAACTCTTGAAAGGTTCCAGAGAAGGCTGATGCAATCCAAGTCCCAGCTGACATGCCAGACGAAAGCCACATCTACTAGGAAACAGCTTCTGAAGTAATATGAATAGCGCTAATGTATTCACCAGGGTGAGCTCAAGAAAATATCCACTGCCCGAGCACAGAGTGCAGTATAATGAACAGTGAGAACACAGCTCAAGTTTAAGCCTTTTTTTTAGAAAAAAAAACAACCAGTCACTAGAACCCAAGCATAAGACAAAAAAATAAAAAATTTCAAGCCCAAGACAACAAACACAGAATTCAACAGCTTCCGCTGCTGTGATTACAGAGCTTCACTGTAATTTGTAGACTGCCATGAATAAGCAAAACTTCTCAGTACTGCATCAGCAAGATTCAGCTAAGCCAAGAGGCCACAGTAAATCTCTTTAAAGAGCACTGCTTTGCTCAAGCTTAACATGCATGAGGGACAGTACCCAGGAAGCAAAATGTCCTAATTATTTCACACACAAATAAATAAAAAGACATCAATCATTCATAATAACACACTGCAAAAATATCATTGTTACCCTGAGCTTCAGTTCTCTTTCTCTCCAAATCTTTCGTATCCGGGAAGGAAACGGAGAAGAATGTACCCTAAATAAATCACACACGCATCTGCATGGTTTTTTCTGAGGTTCCAGTTTACCTATTTCAAACATAATTCTTAAGGCACAATCGCTTAAACTCTTCCTTATCCCTTTGTGAAAAATCTTTAGCTCTTTTCCCCAAAGTGCTAGGATAAGTAAAATCCCAGAAGAAAATGAAGCGCAAACTAGTTTGTGTGAGATCACCTACCAATTCCTTTCTCATATGTGTTCTTGTGGCATATATTATAATAAGAAGAGTCCAGAAGGAAGGCCACAAGAAGAAATTATGGCAGCTAATTGCTGCAGACGAATTCCAGCACTACCAATTCTAGAAAAGCAAACAAGTAATTAATGTGGGTGTTCCTTTCACTTAAGGCAACACACAAGGCTGAGAATTTTCTGGTACTTTAGGGAGTCCTGCTATTTAAATACACAAGACTTGCTAAACTACCTATCACCAGTGCATGATTAAAAATTACATTTGCATATTCAAAATGTTCAAAGAGACTTACTTTGAGACACTTCCCCCTCCCTTCCCACTTAGACTCGTTTGCTCACTTGCTTATTGCATTGAGAAACCCAGTCAATTAGTATCCGGATCAATTAGCCAAGCCTCTGCTGCACTTGACAGCCACAAACCCATTAGGAGGGATCAGTCTCCCTGATTACAGGTTTCAGCAATTAAAGCTGCCCCTTCTCCTGTCCCAGAGCAACTGTTCTGTCTCCTCTCAGCTTTCCCTGAGTCTCTTGCAACGCCACATTACACACTAACCCGACACGCCTACATCTAACTCCACTTACACTGCCGGGGCAAAGGAGCTATTCCTCAAGCACAGAAGGTGAAGAAGCCCCTTTTCCTGAGGGCTCAGTCTCCGAGGTAACAAACTGCTGTCTAAGAGCTTAAGGCATCTTTCTCCCAACTTGATTCTCTATCCCCTTGCTTAGGACAATTCAGCTTCCTAAACGGCCCCAAAGGTGGTGAAGCATCTCTCTTAGGAGGAAAGGCAGAGAGATCTGGGAAATGTTTGCCTGGCAAAGGGAAGGTTCAGGGGGGATCTTCTCAATGTATATAAACACCTGGAGGGAAAGTGCCAGGACCAGAGGCCACGGACACCCACTGAAACACAGAAGGTTCCCCTCTGAACACCAGGAAACACCGTTCTACCGTGAGGGCAACCGAACACCAGCAGATTGTCCAGGCAGGTGATGGAATCTCCATCCTTGGAGATCTTCAACAGCCATCTGGACACAGTCCAAGGCTCTGGGTGGCCTTCCTTCAGCAGGGGGGCTGGTCCAGACGCCCTCCCGAGGTTCCCCTCCAACCACACCTGGTCTCTAACACTCAGCCAAAGCACTACGGACATTTCCTTGCCCTGCAAGCTCGCCTTCACAACACAGACGTGTTCTTACTCTTTTGAGATTCAGTCCCTGGCAAGCTTACATGAAATGAGCCAACTGGTGGAAAAATACTTCGGTGTGCAGGGGAAGCAAGGAGCAGACAGACATATCCAGACAATTCAGTCTTGGAAGACACGTTTTGCCCTAGGAAACCAACGTAAGAGTACAAAAGGGCAGTGTTAGCCCTTTAAAGAGTCACAATAACTCTTTCTTGTTTCAGACTGGGATAACAGACAACTCTTACAGCACTAAGAAAGACTCACTGGTCTCTGTTGCAGAAAATTTCCCCTTAAAGTATCTAAAAAGGCATTTTGAGCTCTACAAACAAAGCACAAATTAAAGGTAGTTGCTACTAAAAATGCCACACGGGGATTAAATTGGTTTCCCACCTACGGGACTGGTTTCTTCAAAAGCACGTGGAGTGAAACCACACAGGCTTAAGTTGAGAATCTACTTGCAAGTCAAGGCTGACTCAAAAGAAGAGTCAACATATTTTATAGAAAAAGACACTGAAAAAACCCCTGGCTCACCAAACAGCGCAGCTGCTTACAAAAATCCCCTTTATGGCATGCCTTTATTTCTGTTTCAAATATGAAGGGGGGAAAAAAACGGTGTAAACTATTAAATTCTAAAGTTGCCAACAAATACACAAATATATAAAGAAATTAACAGTAAGCTTTAAAAACACTTCCCTAAACTAATCGTGAAATAAAGTTAGCCCCAACACAGCAATTAATTCCCAAAGCAGCCTGGACAGAAAAGCCCATTTTGCTAGATCACTTTGCCATTTTTGTTAACTCCGAGGAGTTACTAACAGCTCCAAACACAGAAAGTATTCATTTAACTGATGTAAAAAAACCTTAAAATCAGTGAAAGGTTTCTCTTTCTTCCTATCCCAAAGAGGAATGCTTCTGTTAGGAACTGGAGATAAAAACAAAAATATGTATTTCTTCAGCCTCCCACCCCCCCATACTACCTTCCGACTAGTTTTACAGTCACTGGTTTTACTCCTCGCCCCAAAATGATATCAGAAACTAGCTCTTTTGTTTTCTAGATCAAGTAAAAGGAGAAAGCTTTATCCTGAAACATGGCAGTTACTTCCTCCACCCCGTTAATTTAAAGTAACAACTGACACAAGCTTCAAGGATTAAGCAATACCCACTGGAATTTTTTCCCTCTTCTGTACTCACCTGTCCCTCAGCTGCTGATCGGGCAGAAGCAGAGCGGAGATGGCAATTTATAAGACACTGCCTCTTTCGAAAGCCAATCAAAACCCGACGGAAAGTAGGAGTTGTCCCACACCTTAAAAAAAAAAAAAATAAAAAAAATTTGTGCGCGTAAGAGCAGCAGCTGCCAGTGATATCGCTTCGTTCACATTTGCTCGATTTTGAAATGCCTGTAACTTTGTGATAGGCAGAGGACTCTGAAGCTACGTAACCAGCTCCTGTAACGTAGAGAACTGGACAACCTGGGGTCATCTCTGAAGGTTTTTAAAACCTAATTGATTCCAGCGCGGAGGATTAGTATAAAGCAAACACATGTTCAGACGGGAAGCAATAATCTCTCCTGGATAGCAGGCAACTTCTGAGTTTTGTAAGAAGATTAAAGTGTGGGGAGAGGGAAAAGAGGGGGGAAAAAGAAACTGGCTTGTAAAATGACATTCACCAAATTAATTGCCAGCTGCTGTTCCTTTGCGAGATTTCCAAAGCGTTACATAAGCACCAAGCACCTGTTGCTCACACAAAAGACAAAACCATATTTATAGAAGCCAATAGTTTCTTACGTATTAGTTATTAATGGAACACGACAGTGATAAGAGAGATAAGAAACCCCTGGGTTTGGTCTGGAAAATCCCACGGCAGTAAGCTTCCAAGAAAATGGGAAAGATGGAGGAGAGAGAGGTCAGAACCAAACCCCCAAATCTCCCACGGCATTTCGGGGAGGGGGATGCTGCACAGCTGCTGAGATACCCCAGGGCTGCTCCTCCACAGAGCTAACCAAAGAAGTCCAAAACTCCCTTCTGTCAAAGAAAATAAGATACTTTCTAGGGCACAGTTTCTCGCAGATTCCCAGCCACTGGTGCTTTCAGAAGAGCCAACATCCTTGGGCATAGCTCCCCTCCAAGCTATCATCCTCGACTCACGTTCGTCTCCAAACACCACACAGCTTCTGCTTCAGACCCAAGGAAGGGTTTAAGCACCGGCAAGTTCCTCGACTTTTTCCTCCTGTACCAAGAAGACCTCGAGTGGAAGCCACCTCCCGCCTGGGGCATCCTGAAGACGAAGCCCACGCCGCCT